ACACTTTTTTTTTTTTATTTATTTATGAAGTTCACCCACTTTTTCCACATATACACAACATTTTTTTTTAAACTCTAATAAAATTTATATGTACACTTTTATATATCATTTTAATAATACTTTTTTAAAAATTTTTTAAAATTTTTTTTTTTTATGAGCTTGGTGATAAGAAAGAGGGGTGGTGTGGTTGAGTGGAGTAGTGTGTGTTTGTGTGCATGTTTTTTTAAAATGGATGTGGGGTTGAAATAAAATAATATTATAAATAAAAAAATATTTTAAAAAAAAAAAAAAATTTTAATTTTTTATTTTTTATTTTTTTTAATTTTAAATTATTTTTTAAATTATTTTTTTTTTTAATAACTAATGATTGATAATTAAAATAATAATAATAAAAATAATAATAATAATAATAATAATAATAATAAAATACAGCATAAATAATAGCATAGTATATATACATACATAATACATACACTTTCACCCACAGACATTTTTATTTTATTTTTAATTTCTTTTTTTTTATTTAAATAAAAAATATACATAATAATTTTATTTTTTTGTTTTTAATATTTTGCACAAAGAACAATAATTTATATAGTTTTATAAATATATATTTTATATATATTTTATATATATATATTAAATAATAAGCAATAATCAACAATAATCAACAATAATCAACAATAATCAACAATAATCAACAATAATCAACAACAACCAACATATAACAAAAAAAAAGAAATAATTAGGAATCAGTAATATATATATATATTTAGCTATATAATTTATTACATATCATATTTTTTTATTTATTTATTTTATTTATTTATTTATTTATTTATTTATATTTATTTATTTATTTTATCTATAATATTCATCCTGTGTACATAATTCAAAAATAATAATAATAATAACAAAAACAAAAAATAAAAATTTTAAAAGAAATAAATAATATAAGAAAATAAAGTTTATTTTAAATACTCAATAATAATTGTGGTCATAAAAACTATATAAGTAATTTATATAAAAGCACAATTATAATCACCAATGAATTTTTTTTACAATGGAAACAACAACACCACCCAATAGTAATAAAACAGAAGATTGTTGTAACAAAAGAAGTAAGTTTAAAAGTCTTTTTCTTTTTTTTATTCTTTTTTAGTTCTTTTTTTTTTTTTTTTTCTTAAAAATAAAATTTGTTAATATTTCCTTTTTTTATTTAATTTAAAATTTTTAAATTAGAAAATGGATTTATGGATAGTGAAGAAAGATTTAATAAAAAATTAAAAACAGATAATTTATTACCACAACAAAGTTTTTGTAAAGATGTAGCATTTGAGGATATTGGTAGTCAATGTTATTTTAATAATTTATTATCAGTAGAATTAATCGTAAAAATTTTTGGAATGTGTGACCCGTTTACAACACCATTGGTATATGTTTGCAAATATTGGCTTAATGTTTTAATTAATAATCAAATTTCATTATGGAGAGATTTATCAATTACCATCTTTGAAAAAAAGCCTTCAACCTTTACCCCAAAATGTGATAGTGTAGTCTCTTTCTTTGATAAAGGCTTTGGTAAAGGTTTACATAATTTTTCAATCTCTTCAACATTTTCAAATAAAAATAATAATCATAATAACAACCACAACAATATCAATAGTCAAGTAAATGGAGGTAATAATAGTAATTTTAATAGCAATAATAGTAATAGAAGGATGATTAGAGAATCAATATACAATGGAAATATTAATATTTCACAATCTAATAACAATAGTAATAATAGTAATAGTAATATAAGTACAACAACTACTACAACTACATCTACAACCAGTACTACTACAATGCTAAATAGTAATAGATTAAATAATATAAATAATGTATATAATAACAGAAGTAATATTCACAACTGTAATATTGTTAATTTTACTAAAACTATAAGTGAACATTTATCAAATTGTATAAATTTAAAAAGTTTAGATCTCATTTTGCCATTAACAAGTGAACAAATGATAAAGATAGCCAAAAACTGTAAATATATCAATGTACTTAGTTTCAATACATTATTAATCAATGACGAAGGTATAAAGAAAGCATTGTCTATAATGAAAAACCTGGATACACTCGCCTTGATGGCATCTGGTCATGCTAACCAAGAATTTATAAAAAGATTAGACCAGCCATGGACACCAAAATCCACTATATCCCCAGTAGCATTAACAAATATTGCCTCCAATGTACCAAATTTAAAAAGTTTGAAATTTTCATTACTTCCAAATTTTAATAACCACAAAGAACTCTCAAATATAATAAATGACCCAAGTGAAACCATAGTTCTACCACAAATTTTAGATGAAAATGAAACACCAACACAAGACGAACAAGAAATGGAAATAGAATCAGAACAAGAAGAAAAGCAAAATATATCAATAAAAAAGAAAATAGAAAACCCATATTCATCCTTATTAAAATTCAAACTATTAAAAGAATTAGAATTGATGAACTGCAATGTTTCAAATGAATTTTTAATTAAAGCCTTTTTAAATCAAAACTCAATTATAGAAAGAATGGTTCTCTATAGGAACACTTTAATTACTGAGCTAAAGTTTACCTGTGACTCCTTAAAGTATCTTAGTCTATCATGCTTGCCAATGCTCCAATCAATTGAAATTAGCTCTTTTTCACTTTTAGAAATTTCATTAGAAGGTTGCGAAAGTCTACAATCAACTGTTATTAATGCTCCTAATTTGGAATCATTTTCTATGGAAAGCTGTACTGGTAAGCTTTCATTAGAAGCCATTCAATGCAAATCCATTTCCTTATTCGAGTGCAGAGATATCGAAGAAGAATCATTAGAACAAATAATAGATAGCTTGCCAAGCTTAACCGAGTTTCATGGATACTTGGAGGGTGTTGAAAATCTTCGTATTGCTTCTCAAACAATTAAAAAGATCGATATTGAAGCTTGGCACGGGATATCATCGGTTGTATTAGATTGTCCAAAACTTAAAGAGCTTAAAGCATCAGAGTCCACATCCCTAGAAACCCTTTATTTAAAAGCTGGTCATGTCTCTGTCATTGAATTAGACTTTTGTGACTCTCTTAGAACCATTCTCATTGATGTCCTATCTTGTAAACAATTCTCTTTAACTCAAAGCCATCCAACATCCTCAAACTTTAACGTTGACCTTAGAGACATCAATGACTCTGATCCATTTTTATCACCAACTTCATTATTTTTCCAATCTCAAAAATATATTCAAAATTGTACAATACTAAGTGGTAATATAATTGGTAAACTATCAACAAATTTAATAGGAAACCTATCCGTCGAGTTAAAGTCTTTAAGTACTTTTTCTTATGATGCCACCAAAATTAATAAACTAAACACATATAGAGAGATTAGAACTTCAGGTGGTAATATTAGATTTACTCCTGTTGGTTATCAACAACCACAACAACAACAACAACAACAACAACCACAACAACTACAACAACACTATAAAAACTATTCAAACCAACAATCTAAACAATATTCACAACCCCTATATCAACAACCACAACAACAACCACAACCACAACAACCAGAACAGTATTTAAATGATTTTGAAGAATTATCTTACAATAACAATATATACAAAAGAAGAAATAGTCTTTCAAGATCCCCAAAGAGTGGAGGAACAAGTCCATCCTCATTTGAATACTCATATAGAACATCATATAATTGCTCAGGCCTTATAGATGAATATGGTTGTAATTTTTAAATATATAGTGATAAAAAAAACTAAAAAAACTAAAAAATACATAAAACTTTTTTTTTTTTAATAAACTAATTCTTTTTATTTTAAAATAAACAGCAAATATATAATTTAATATTTTATACACATTGTATATTATTTAAATATATATTTAAAAAAACTAAAAAAAAAAAAATTGTAATCTTTTTATTATTTCTATTTTTATATACATTGATTTTTTAATTATTTACAAAGTTAGATTATTTTAACTTTTTTTTTTTTTTTTTAATGGTATAAGATATTCTCCATTGTTTAAATGTTTTGTAATAGTATTTGTTAATAAAACTTGAATACCAGCACTTGGGTTTTTATCTATTAAATTATATATAGGATCGGTTTCTTTTGTATTGAAATATATATAGTGAGTAATACGTTTATCCTTGAGCTCGTCGAGACTTTTGATAGCACCAACTTCAAACAATTCAGCATTGCCACAAGAAAGAATCTTTTTCCATGCTTCAAAGGTATGGATATTTTTTGAACTAAATGCGATTCTAGCAAGATCGAAAATCTTTCTGCCATTTTGAGCAACTATCCTTTGACATTTTAGTGAGGAGTTAATCCACAAATCGATTTTAGGATCACCACAGTATGACTCTTCATTCCATTGATGATCCACTTCTTTTTCAAGAACTCCTTTTTCATTTGATACAACTAAAAATGATGGTTTAAGTATCCACGACCCTGCAGCTGAACCACCCATAACTTTTTCACTTCTTGATGGTTGTTTGGTTATGACATGAGTAACATCTTTATTTATACTACTTTCTAAAAAGCCACCAAATCTTAAAAGCATGGCTGTATATCTTGCCAATTCGTCACTATCAGCAAAACCAGATAAAACAAAAATCATTGTTGATTTTATTGCAGAAGGTCCTTTATTTAAAGTTTCATTGGTTTCATGTTGAGTTGGTTTAGTTAACATATTTAAAATATTTTCTGCCACACTGTCATTTCCTTTGTTTAAATTTGATGAAAGTGTCGATGAGGGTGGATGTTTTGAAGAGCTCTGCCCTGAAGTTGAATAATAAGATTCCAAAAGCTTTTTCTTCCTTAATATTTCCGTTTCATTTCCATAAGTAATCATTTGAGAGCTAGTTTCGAGTGATGCTTGATATTCTTTAAAGAGATTTTGGGAACTATCTTCTTCTGGATCTGAAATAAAATCACCGTTATTACTAATTGCCACAGAGTTGTTTAAGCTTACACTATTAAAACTAGTACTTGAAACAGAGTCATCATCTATCTTCATTGGTTCTGAGTCTGAGTCTGAGTCATCTCTTTCAGATTTCTCCCAATCGATAAGTGATGAAATATTTAATGATGGCTTATTGATCTTTGGAACAATTGAAAGTTTATTTTGATTATAATACTCGATACGGTTTTTATTAATTCCAATCTTTGAATGGGGTTGTTTATTATGTACTGGTAAAGTTGATAAAGCTTTAAAAATTTTATCAAAACCTTTTGATGATGCAGATGAACTATTTAAAGCTATATTATCTTCAACCATAATATCCTCCTCGTTATTGCCAGTTCCGTCCATTTTAATATCATTTTCTAAATCTTTTGTTGATGGTTCATTTGAATTCTCTAATGTCATAGTTTGATCCTTAGTTTGTTCTTGAACTATTGTTGTGGTAATTGTGTTTGTTTTAATAATTTTTTCTTGGGTCGAGTTGGCATTGAATAATTGTGATGGTGTTTTAGCTAAAGATTGAATAGTTGGAAGTGACTAAAAAAGAAATATAATTAATAAAAAAATTTATAAAATACACTTTTTTAAAACCAAATTAAAACTTACATCTTCCTCGTTTACGATTTTTAAAGGTTGAAAATCATTCTCGGATAATAAAGATTTTGAGCCCCAACAACTTTCTAACCATTTTGGGGATACTTGAACGAAATTTGCATCAATAAAATTTTGAGTTTCGAGATGGTCATATTCATTTGTGATATAGTGAGTTATTTTATCAAATGCTGATAAAGTATACTCACCACCCAAATATTCAATATATTTAATATATTTTTCGGCTGAGTGAATGATTTTACTTGAAATAAATATTGTAAAACCTTTAAAAATATTAATTGAGTTATTATTACTATTGTCGTTGTCATTTTTGTCGTTGTCATTTTTGTCGTTGTTGTTATTTGTTATTATACTAAAATCATTTTCTGTACCATTTGATATTAATTTATTTAATGAGAAATTTGTTTCATCCAATCTTCTGCCTGCACGCGCAGATTCGAACAACCAATCAACAGTTACAACCGGAATTTTTTTACCCAATGACAATGTATAAGATTCACCTCTAGAAGAGCAGACTAAATGAGTTGTTCCTTTGCCAAATTTTTTACCCAAATATGTTGCCCCCAAGAGTTTAGCAGTGGCTCTAATTGGACGCTCTTCATTTTCGGAGAATCCTTCGGAGGTAATCTTTAAACCTTTGAATACAGATAAATTTGGTAATGGTGAATAGATTGGAGCTTCGTTTGGATCTATAATTTGACAAGAATTTATGCATCTATCAAACCAATCGGTAGTAACAACCGGTATTCCGGAACAACCTTCATTTAAATTGATATTTTTTTCGTGAGGAGCCATAATGTAATGAATATCCATATTTGTGGAGGTCCATTCGCTTGGGATACTATGCTCGTCAATAACTTGAGCATATTTTGATACATGGAGTATAACTTGATTTAGCTCTTCTTCGGGGAACCCTTTAATTAAAATATTTTTACCATAAAATAATTCTTGTTGTTTTTTGGCTAATTCATTTTCCATTGAACTTGAATGTAATATAATTTGATTGTTACTACTATCACTATTATTAAATTCGTTATTATTATGAAATTGATTTTGTTGTTGTTGGTAATGTTGCTGTTGCTGTTGTTGAATTTGGGTTGGTATTCTTTGTAATGGCATAGACTGGTATGGTAAAATTTGTTGTTGTTGTTGATATTGCTGTTGGTATTGCTGTTGATATTGTAAAGATTGCTGTGAGTGATGTTGGCTATAAGGTGTATTTTGACTATATTTTGATATTTGAGTTGTACTTGGCATTGGAGTTGGTTTGTATTTATTTTCTGGGACTCCTGTGCCAACCATTGAAGGATCTATGGAACCATGTGATGGTTGGTTTCTAAAACTTTGTTGTGATTGCGAAAGCTGTCTTTGTAAACTTGGGGGTGTTTGAAATGGTTGATATAATTGTTGTTGTTGCTGTTGCTGTTGTAGTGGTTGTTGTTGCAGGTAGAGTTGTTGTTTAGATTGTGGTTGATATGGCAGAGTTTGAATGATACCATTGTTTATTGAATAAATACTAAAATCTCTAAATAAACCAGTATTGATACAATCTTTGTACCATTCAAATGAAACAATTGGAATATTATTTGCTTTTGCTGCTGCATATTTGTCGCTATTTGATGAATTTGTAATTAAGATTTGAACTTCTGCATTATAATCACCCGAAATAGTGCCTCCTCTGCATGTTATACCTTCTTTAATTTCTTTTTTCTCTGTATTTTGAAAGCCACTTGTACAAATAATACAATTATAAAAAACAGCAGAGAATTGTCTATAATCATGGATTATTGAATCTTGAAAACATTGACTAACCCATGCAGGAATAACCAGAGGAATATTATTATTTCTGGCCAACTCAATAGTTTTGGAATGAGATGGATCATACTCTGTATTAACTATTAAATGTGTGACTCGAGTTGAAAGCTTTTGTGCATACTCTCCACTTAAATACTGTACTATGTTAACTATTTCTTGATTGGCTTCGGATGTGAACCCAAATGTTGAAACTACAACGCCAAATAAACAATCTGAATAGATTGGATGTTGTTCTAGCATATCAAAATTAATTGGTCTGTTTTTCTGTGCACATTCGACTAAATATTTAATACCTATAATTGGGTGTCCTTGATTTTTTGCTACTTCAAACTCTTGCTATTAAATTACAATTATTTATTAGTATAAAAGTATTTTTTTTATAATATTATAATGGAATATAACACCTACTGTTGTAAAATCATTAAACAAATATATTAATGCACCTTCTGAAGAAGATGAAAACAATCTTTTGCCACCATGCTTATTGATTACCCTTGTTAATTGCTCTGCCTGTTGAGAGTTTTTTGAAACAAATGATTCTTGTAGATAAAATCTTAAATTTGAAAAAATGGGTTGTTGTGGTTGTAATTGTAATTGAGATCCCACCATCATAAAGAAAACAATTATTTATATTTGATTTTATTTATACAATAATATATTTATATATTTATATATTTATATAATTATTAAAAAAATTTTAAAAAAAAAAAAAAAATGAAAAAAAAAAAAGTTTAAATTTATTATAATTAAAAAAAAAAAAAAAAAAAAAAAAATGAAAAAAATTAAATTAAAAATATTTTTTTTATATTTTAAATTTTTTCGTAGAAATAATTAATTTAGCGCTATTTAGAAAATGAAGCAAATGTTTTCATTTTTTTCTTTGATTAGTTCCAAAATGAAGTTGCTTTTGCCCAAATTAAAATAATGATGAATGTAGTTGTTGAATGATTTTAACATTATGGTATCTAAATTATTAAAAATTAATAAATAAAATAAATAAAAATAAAATATAATATTTAAAAAAACAAACACCAAATATAGTTTAAAGAATAAATGCATTATTTTTTTTTTTGTGTTTTATTTTATGTTTTGTTTAATTTATTTAAGTTTTCTTTTGTTTTGATTTATTGATGTTGTTAACTTTTTTAAAAAAATATTAAAAGAAAATTGTCCCCATAAAAAAAAAAAGAAAATAATTAAAAAAGAATAGATCTATTCACACGTAATGTAATCTAGATAAAATAAAAAAATTAAATAATAAAAATAAGGGTTCAATAGGTATGTATTTTATTTTCGCTCATATTGGACTTTATATATTTAAATTTAATTAAATATAATTTCTTTTTTCGAACTATAAATAGTGTAATAGAAATAAAAAAAATAAAAAATAGAAATAAAATAAATTATTGTATTTGGTGTTTTTTTTTTTGATTATGAAGTTCCAAAAGGATCATTTTGTGCAATAGAATTGTTTTAATAATAAAATTAAATCAAAATTTTAAATATTAGTATTCTTTTTACTTTTTTTAGAAATTATTTTTTTTTTGTTTTTTTTTTTTTTTTTTTTTTAAATTACGAATCAAAAAATTTCAACTACAAAATTTGCAAATAAATAATTTATAGTCTAAAAAAAGAAATTTAAAATAAAATTAAAAAAATATTAATAATTAGTATATTTAATAATAAAAAAAATTAAAAAAAAATTAAATAAAAAAAAATAATAAAAAAAAATAATAAAAAAAAAAAGAATAAAAAATATCTTTTATCGCACTAATATTATAATATCCTTAAAATTATTAAAAAAACATTTTAGTTTAGAAATACAATTATATTCCGCAACAAATAATTATTAAAAATATATAAAAAAAAAATTTTATTTATTTTTATTATAATTATTTTTTTTGTTAAGTAAATTAAT